CACAGGGTCGCTATGAGTCGCAGGCGACTCGACGGCACATAACAACAACAACAACAACATTTATCAATGAGTTTTCTGCATCACTGCTTATTCCTCCATGGATCTTCTCTTGGTCCTTACTATCTACAAGTTCCACATTCAAAGTCCAGGAACAAATTGTTGTATGCCACCGAGTTGGAACCAACCCACAGCTGGGTTTTCAGAGGCAGTACATTGCACGGGAAAAATTGCAAAACCTTCTCCGGCCAACAATCCACGGCCGCTGGATCTCAAAATATATTTACACAGGAAACCTAATTCCGGCTCCAGATATTATCGCGAGAATTTAGTCTAGCAAGTCATGTGACAATGCAAGATGGCGGTCCCCAATGAAGCAGAGGAGGGGGTTTTTTACTTGGTAGTGAGCGGTATTCCTTCGGAATTGCGATCGGCCCAGCTACGGAGCTACTTTAGCCAGTTCCGGGAGCAGCGTGACGGTGGCTTTCTGTGTTTCCACTACCGACATCGGCCTGAGCAGACCCCTTCTCAGGCTACTTCTGACTCTGCTCTATCTCCCAGCGATCCTGTAGCTGAAGGCCATGTTCTCGCTCAAACGTCAGCCACCAATGTCCCTGCTTTCTCCTCTCGGTACTCAACTCCGGTCCAGACTCGCACCTGCTGTTGCGTCATCTCGGTACGAGGGGCAACTCAGGCCCGGAGGCTTCTTCGCATGTACTCAGGCCGACAGTGGCTGGATTCTCAAGGGACTTTGCTGCCTGGTCGCTGTCTCATCCGCAGACTTCGGATACCCACAGAGGCGTCAGGTATGAATGGGACAGACAGGAGGCTAGCAGCCCCAGGAGAAGATGTATCTCTGGGGAATATGTGTATAAGAGTAAATGAAGCTCTTGTTCTGACTCGTTAGGTGCAATAGAGTCATATACAACTCATGGCGACCCCATGAGCAACAGACTTGAACCCTGCCCTGTCCTGTGCTATCCTCTTCATTTCCAACTTCATCATTCCCATTGCCGCAGTCACTGTGCCATTCCATCTCGTTGAGGGTCTTCCTGTCTTTGATCCTTTTCAAGGAATAGCCTTTCATAGCAATATGCCCAAAATACGTGAGATGAAATTTTGTCATCCTTGCCTACAAGCAACACTCTTGCTGTGTATCTGTTTGAGAGCTTTTTTTAAATCCATGGAATAGTCAGTGCTCTTTTTCAGCACCATAACTCAAAGACATCAGTTCTTCTGTCATCCCTAGTTATTGTTCAGCTCTCAAACGCATAGCAAGTGATTGGAAGAACCGTGACCTGAATCAGGCACACCTAAGTCTTTAAACTAATATCATTGTTTCTCAATAATTTGGAGAGATTCCTGTCAGCAGACTTGCCCAGTGCTGATAAGTCTCCTGATCTCCTGACTGCTGGTACGAAGTGTGTTGATTGTGGATCCAAGTAAAATGAAAATGTTGACAATTTCAATCCTCCTCAGTTTCAGCAAGCAGGGTTGTGTCATCTGCATGGCACAGGTTGTTGATGAGTCTTTCTCCTAACCTGATGCTACATTCTTCTTCATAGAGTCCAGCTTCTTGAATTATTTGCCCAGCATATACGTTGAGTAGATATGGAGAAAGGATACATCCATGACATACTATCTTTCTTGATTTTCAACCATGCAATGTGCCCTTGCTTTATTTGGACAACAGTTTCATGGTCTAGAGAAAGGTCTCATATGAACATAATTAAGTGTTCTGGGGTTCCAAATTTTTCCTCAATATTAGCCATAATTTGTTAGGATACACACAATCCAATATTGAGTTTCACATAATTAATAGAAATAGACATTCTTCTGGTATTCTCTGCTTTAAGCCAGGATCCATCTGACATCAGCAATGATATCCCTGGGCAAAGTGCATAACATACCAGCCAGAAAATTCAGTCATTCTAGAGAAAGATGGGCATTCTCCACCTATAAATATTTACACCTCAGAAGCTTGATAGAGGGTTGCTATGAGTCAAAACCAACTTGATGACAGTGGATTTTTGTGTGGAACTTTATACTTATCTTATGGATTTGATAATCTGATGTGTCCACTCAGAACTTATACTTACAGTTAAGTGGCTTATTAAGGAAGTGGCGAGGGTCCTTGGGATCAGAAACCATAAAAGCAAAATTTAAAAGGCTCCACCATAGTGCAGAGCATATCTTGTCCTTCAGTACATGATAGTATACTCATCTCTGGAGGTAAACAGACCCTTCTCTTTGCTGTGCACACTCCCTCACACCTGTACAGGGGTCCTCTTAGGCCCCCTCAGGCCAGGCCCCTTTCACCTCCCTGACAATACCACTGGCTATGCCACAGGGCTCTTTCCTGTTTTCATTGTTACAACTCTTAACTTTTAAGAGGTTCTTTGCCTCCTCTTCTGCTTCTGATCTCTTGCTTCCCTTGTCCTTTCTCCTTCCTGCATCCTTCTTCTCTGTTTGTAAAACTCTTCAAGGTTGGGTGAGTATATAAGTAAAACCCCTCATCAGTTTTGTATTTGGCTTTTTTCCCCCTTGTGTACCATCCAGTCAAATATGACTGGCACAGGAGGAGATTGCCCCTCCTTCTCCAGCAGAGCATCTGGTAAATTCAAACCACTTGCCTTCAGGATTGCAGCACAGCTTCTTGCCACTGGGCCAACAGAGCTCCCTTTCTTGTCAGTTTTAATCAGGGCCACCAGCATCACTTAACTCTTTTTAATCATCCCAAGGCTGAGTATACTTCATTTGCATAAGTAATACGAACCAGTCACTGCAAAATACATAAATTTGACCAATCCCAGGGAAGGCTACAGTCCAAGGTAGACAAAAAAAATATGAAGCCACAGATTGTTTACAATTTACCCAGAAAATCTCAATCCACCTGAACAAAAAGTAAAAAACCTTCTTGGATAGAAAACTGTGGCAAAAGTAACTCTTCAGAGTTTAGGAGAAAGGCAAAATGCCACATACAGGAACTCATTTTACTAACACAAGGAAAGGGGTGTAGGGGAAAGAGAACTTTATTGAGATAAGCTTTCATTTTCTAATTTATTGAGTCATTCCAAAAATTTTCAAGATGTTCATTGTAGCTAGAATACATGGTATGAGAGTATGGAGCAGGTTGGAGGTGGTAGCAAGTAGCCTCTAAAGAAAATGCATGTTTTTATTTGAGCAGATGAAAAATGGCATGAAATTGCTAGGTGGGTTTGAACAGAGAGAGAGGAGAGGACTCTGAAAAGTTAAAAAAAAAAATACCATTAGGCTAATGCATTTAAACTTTGAGTAGTTTCTGGCCCGATTTTGCTGGTGGATTCAGGTATTCAATATCCATTCTTCTTCCACCCTCCTAAGGTTTAGTCTCATTTCCCTTCAAGACCCGAAAGGAGCTACAAAGTCGGAAGGCTACAAGTGAAGCATTCACCCTGGCTGACCTGAGACAACTACCAGAACTGAATCCACCAGCGTTGATGCCGAATGGGAATGTGGGGACTCCCCTGCGGGTCTTTTTGGAGTTCATCCGAGCCTGCCGCTTACCACCCCGGATCATCACCCAGCTGCAGCTTCAGTTTCCCAAGACAGGTTCCTCTCGACGTTATGGCAATGTGCCCTTTGAGTATGAGGACTCCGAGACTGTGGAGCAGGAAGAGCTTGTATACACAGCAGAGGGTGAGGAAATACCCCAGGGAGCCTGCCTCAACGATACATCACCCCGCCCTTGTGGTGAGCCAGAGGAAGAAGGGGAAGAGGAGGCGGAAGAGTCTCATTCAGATGACGTGAGTATAATGAGCCACTTATCCTTGCTGGCAACGTGGAGAGGCTAGAACATTATGTCACTTGTTTATTAACAGCAGCTCTTTACCTGGAGTTCCCAAGAGGATTTTAGCAGTATGCGAACTCCTGGACATTAAATGTAAAATACATGTACACACATGCATTTCTTTAGAGCGAGCGTCCATAGCATTTATCAGAAGATTCTCAAAGAATTCTTTTCATTCCTTCAGAAGAAATGTAAAGAGGGAGGGTTTGTTGTCAAAATTGAGAACCTGCCAGTCAAGATGTATGCATTCACTTGCCTAAGACCATCTGAGCAAGTAGAGACAGCTGAAATGTGAAGCCAGCCCCCGTGTTGATTCACTAAGCTCCGTGTGCATTCATCCCATAATTGTGAGATAGCTTCTGTTTTCTGACTTTGAATCTTTGCCTTTACTCTAACCTATAAAGAAATAGACATTTCTTCCACATGTTTGCCCATCAGTAAAATTAGATGAACTATGATTTGTTGTTGAGTTGTTGTTTGATGGCCACCCATCTCCACATCTGTGGCTTGTTTAAGGCCATTGGTTGCAATCAGTGTCTCAATATCTCATTGAGGGTCTTTACCACTTTTTCAAGCATGATATTCTTCTCCAAGTACTAGAACCTTCTGACAACATGCCCAAAGAGTGTGAAACAGAATCTTACTATATTTGCCTCCAGCAAACACTGCACTTCTTCCAAGACGGATTTGTTTATTCTTTTGGCCACCCATGTTGTTGTTGTTAGTTGCCATTGATTCGAGTGTGACTCATAGCAGCCCTATGAACAACGGATCTGAATCCTATCCTGTCCTGTGCCAACCTCACAATCTGACACATGCATTGCTGCAGTAACTGTCAATCCATCTGGTTGAGAATTTTCCTCTCCTTGCCATCCCTCCACCTTTCCAAGCATGATGTCCTTCTCCAAGGAATAGCCACTCTTAGCAACATGCCCAAAGTATGTCAGACGAAGCTTCACCATCCTGGCCTACAAGAAGCACTCTGGCTTTACTTTCTCCAAGGCATACCTGTATGTTCTTTTGTCAGTACCATGGGATATTCAATACTTTTCCTCCAATACCATGAACTTAAGGCTTCAGTTCTTCTTCTGTCATCTGTATTCATTGTCCAGCTCTCAGATAAATAGCCAGTGATTGAATAGATGCTCTCAATCAGGCACACCTTAGTCCTCAAACTAACATCATTGCTCCTCAGTACTTTTAAAGGTCCCTGACTACAGACTTTCCCAATGCAATACTTCTGTGACTTCCTGACTGCTGATAGCAAGTGTATTGATTGTGAATCCAAGTAAGATGAACTCATTGACAGTGTCAGTCTTTTCCTCATGTATCATAATGTTGCCTATTGGTCTAGTGGTGAGAATTTTTGTTTTCTTGACATTGAGATGCAATCCATATTGAAGGCTGCAGTGTTTAATCTTCTGCAGCAAGTGTTTCAAGTCCACTTTTACTTTCAGCAAGCAAGATTATATCATCTGCATAGCAAAGGTTATTAATGAGTCTTTCTCCGATCTTAATACTACATTCTTATTCATAGCATCAACCCATAGGCTATTCAGTACTCTTCATCAACACCACAGTTCAAAGGCATCAGTTTTTCTTCAGTCTTCCTTATTCACTGTCACTTATTTCACATGCATATGAAGTAGGTGCAGATACCACACCTTGGGTCATGTGTGCACCTTAGTCTTTACAATGGCATCCAGGTTTTTACTACTTTAAAGAGGGTCTTGGCAGCAGATTTGCCTGATGCAGCACTTCGTTTAATTTTTTTACTATGACCTGCATTATGCTGATAACACAACTTGCTGAAAGTGAAGAGCATAGGAAACATTTGCTGCCAAAGATCAAATACTACAGCCTTTGGTAAGGAATACATCTCAACATCATGGAAAAAAGGATTGAAGTTGTCAGGAGTCTTAATTAATTGCATTGAGCAAGTCTGCTGTCAGAGACCTTTCCAGAATGCTAAAATATAATGATATCAGTTTGAAGAGTTGAGGTGCATCTGTTTCAGGCCATAGTCTTCTCAGATACATGCTACACATCAGAGGGCTGGAAAATGAATTAGGATGATAGAAGAATTGATGCATTTAAGTTGAATATCCCATGGACTGCCAAAAGAACAAACAGATATGTCTTGGAAAAAGTGCATCCAGAGTGCTCCTTGGAGGCAAAGATGGTGACGCTTTGTCTTTCATACCTTGGACATATAGCTAGACGTCATGCTTGAAAAGATGGAGGGTCAGCGAAGGAGAGGAAGACCCCTCAATGAGATGGATTGACAGGATGACATGAGCATTGGGCTCTAATGTGTCAGAGATGATGAGGATGGCACAGGATAGGACAGGATTCAGGTCAGCTGTTCATAGCGTTGCTATGAGTTGTACCTGACAATACCTAACAACAAACTACCGTGGATGTTGATTGTGGATCCAGGGAAGTGAAATCCTTGACAATCTCAATCTTTTCTTTTTAATGTGATGTTGCCTGTTGGTCCAGTTGAGAATTTTTGTTTTCTTCATGTTAAGATCTGTTTGTTTTCTTAGCAGTCCATGGTATACTCAATACTCTTCCCAGCACCACAGCTCAAAGGTATCAATTCTCCTTCTATCCTTCCTGGTCATTGCCCAACTCTCTGACGCATAACAAGTGATTGTAAAGACCATGGCCTGTATCAGATGCACCTTAGTCTCCAGAGTGACACCATTGCTCTTCAGTACTTTGGAGAGGTCCATAACAGCAGACTTGCCCATCACAATACATCTTTTAATTTCCTGCCTGCTGGTGCCAAGAGTGTTGACTGTGGAGCCAAGATGTAATCCGTACCAAAGACTTTGATCTTCAGTAAGTACTTTAAATTCTCTTCACTTTTAGCAAGTAAAGTTGTGTCATCAGCATATCGCAGATATCTAATCTTGATACTCTATTTTCCTTCAGTGGTCCAGCTTCTCAAATTATTTGCTTAGCATACAGATTGAATAGATATGGTAAAAGGGTACAAACCTGACACATACCTTTTCTCATTTCACACCATGCAGTATCCCCTTATTCTGTTTAAATGACCGCCTCTTGCTACTCATTCAGACTGGTTCTGAGTGAATGTAGTTAACTGTTCTGGAATTCCCAGTCTTTTCAATGTTAACCATAAGTGCATAAAACAAGTAAGCATGTTTCTGGTATTCTCTGATTTCCTTAGATATTCCTACTTCTACTGCCTCTTCAGAATCCAGCTTGTTCTTCTGGCAGTTCCCAGTTGAGGTGCTACTGTAGCTGTTTTTTAATAATTTTCAGCAAGATTTCCTTTGAGTGTAGTATTAGTGCCATTTGATAATTTCAACATCCTGTTAGATCACTTTTTTTTGGAGTGGGCACAAATAAAGATCTCTTCCAGTTGATTGTTATTGTTGTTGTTGCCTGCAACTCCTAACAACCCTATGTAGAACATCTCTAAACCCTGCTCTATTCTGTGCCAATCTTACTGTCTCTGATACACCTACCCTCATTACCCCAGTCACCGAATCAGTCCATCTCATCGAGGACCTTCCTCTGTTGCACTGTTCCTCCACCCTTCCAAGCATGACATCCTTCTCCAAGAACTGGTCCTGCCTTGCAACATGCCCAAAATATGTCAGACAAAGCTTCAGAATCCTTGCCTCCAAGGAGCAGCCAGGTCTCACCCTCTTTAGGATTAACCTGTTTGTTCTCCCAGCAGTCCATGGTATATTCAATACTCTTCTCCAGTACCACAGCTCAAAGGCATTCATTCTCCTTCTATCATCCCTAGTCATTGTCCAGCGCTCTGATGCATAGCAAGTAATTGTAAAGACTTTAGCCTGAATCAGGCGCACCTTAGTCTGCAGACTGACATCGTTGCTCTTCAGTAATTTGGAGAGGTCCCTGAAAGCAGACTTTTTCAATGCAATTCATCTTTTGATTTCCTGGCTGCTGGTACCAAGAGTATTGATTGTGGAGCCAAGCAAACTAAAGCTGCTAATAATCTCAGTCTCTTCACTGTCTATCATGATGCTGCCAGTCGGCCCAGTGGTGAGAATCTTTGTTTTCTTGATATTGAGCTTCAATCCATATTGAAGGCTGTAGTCCTTGACCTTCTGCAACAAGCGCTTCAGATCCTCCTCAGTTTCAGCAAACAGGGTTGTGTCATCTGCATACACAAATTGTTGATGAGTCTTCCTCCAATCCCGATGCCACACTTCTTCTCATAGAGCCCAGCCTTCAGGTGATTAGCTGCTGTCTTTTAAATGTCTTGTCATGGATGAATGAGCACATCCAGGGCTGCGTCTTTGCTGTTACCTCAAGTGCAAGCTGGACTTCTTCCATCAGTATTATTGATTCTTTTTGTTTTAGGAGGGGAGAGGAGGGCATCAAATCATTTTATTGACAAGTTTCAAGAGTTATTGGAGAAGAGGTGGAGCACTAAGGTCCAGTGACCTTGGTCCAGCAGCGATCCTCTATGCTCTGCAGTCACCAAAACACTAGTGATTCTTGATATGGTTCCTGAAATGGTTCCGTGTTGACGAGCTCTTTTGGTACAGTGATTCTTTTTTTTTT